CCACCCACACAATACATCAACCACCAAACCAATCACCACTACCACCCCACACATACCCCCCACCACAGACAAACCAATCACTCACTACCACCCACACAACCATCACTCACTACCACCCACACAACCAATCACATCACTACCACCCAGACAACCAATCACATCACTACCACCACACAACCAATCACATCACTACCACCGACAACCAATCACATCACTACCACCCAGACAACCAATCACATCACTACCACCCACAACCAATCACATCACTACCACCCAGACAACCAATCACATCACTACCACCCAGACAAACCAATCACTCACTACCACCCAGACAACCAATCACATCACTACCACCCAGACAACCAATCACATCACTACCACCCAGACAACCAATCACATCACTACCCACCAACCAATCACTTCACTACCACCCAGACAACCAATCACATCACTACCACCCAGACAACCAATCACATCACTACCACCCAACAACCAATCACATCACTACCACCCAGACAACCAATCACATCACTACCACCAACAACCAATCACATCACTACCACCCACACAACCAATCATCACTACCACCCAGACAACCAATCACATCACTACCACCCAACAACCAATCACATCACTACCACCCACAACCAATCACATCACTACCACCCAAGACAACCAATCACATCACTACCACCCAACAACCAATCACATCACTACCCACCCAGACACCAATCACATCACTACCACCCAGACAACCATCACATCACTACCACCCACACACCAATCACACACTACCACCCACACAACCAATCACATCACTACCACCCAGACAACCAATCACATCACTACCACCAGACAACCATCCATCTACCACCCAGACAACCAATCACATCACTACCACCCAGACAACCATCACATCACTACCACCCACCCAATCACTCACTACACCCACACAACCAATCACATCACTACCACCCAGACAACCAATCACTCACTACCACCCACACAACCAATCACTTCACTACCACCCACACCCCATATCACTACCACCCAGACAACCAATCACATCACTACCCCCACACAACCAATCACATCACTACCCCCAACCAATCACATCACTACCACCCACAGACCAATCACTTCACTACCACCCAGACAACCAATCACATCACTACCACCCACACAACCAATCACATCACTACCACCCACCAACCAATCACATCACTACCACCCAGACAACCAATCACTTCACTACCACCCAGACAACCAATCACATCACTACCACCCAGACAACCAATCACATCACTACCACCCACACAACCAATCACATCACTACCACCCAGACAACCAATCACTCACTACCACCCAGACAACCAATCACTCACTACCACCCAGACAACCAATCACATCACTACCACCCAGACAACCAATCACATCACTACCACCCAGACAACCAATCACATCACACCACCCACACAACCACACTTCACTACCACCCAGACAACCAATCACCACTACCACCCAGACAACCAATCACATCACTACCACCCACAACCAATCATCACTACCACCCAGACAACCAATCACATCACTACCACCCAACAACCACAAACTTCACTACCACCCAGACAACCAATCACATCACTACCACCCAGACAACCAATCACATCACTACCACCCACACAACCAATCACATCACTACCACCCAGACAACCAATCACATCACTACCACCCACACAACCAATCACTTCACTACCACCCAGACCACCAATCACATCACTACCACCCAACAACCAATCACTTCACTACCACCCACACAACCAATCACACAACCACCCAGACAACCAATCACATCACTACCACCCAGACAACCAATCACATCACTACCACCCAGACACCAATCACATCACTACCACCCACACAACCAATCACGTCACTACCACCCACAACCAATCACATCACTACCACCCACAACAACCAATCACGTCACTACCACCCAGACAACCAATCACATCACTACCACCCAGACAACCAATCACTTCACTACCACCCACAACCAATCACTTCACTACCACCCACACACCAACACATCACTACCACCCACACAACCAATCACTCACTACCACCCAGACAACCAATCACATCACTACCACCCAGACACCAATCACTTCACTACCACTCACACAACCAATCACTCACTACCACCCCACAGCCAATCACTCACTACCACCCCACAACCAATCACTTCACTACCACCCAGACAACCAATCACATCACTACCACCAGACAACCAATCACTTCACTACCACTCACACAACCAATCACTTCACTACCCCCCAGACCCAATCACTTCACTACCACCCACACAACCAATCACTTCACTACCACCCAGACAACCAATCACATCACTACCACCCAGACAACCAATCACTTCACTACCACTCACACAACCAATCACTCACTACCACCCAGACAGCCAATCACACTCACTACCACCCACAACCAATCACTCACTACCACCCCACCAATCACATCACTACCACCCAGACAACCAATCACTCACTACACTCACAACCAATCACATCACTACACCCAGACAGCCAATCACTCACTACCACCCAGACAACCAATCACATCACTACCACCCAGACAACCAATCACATCACTACCACCCACACACCAATCACTCACTACCACCCAGACAACCAATCACTCACTACCACCCAGACAACCAATCACATCACTACCACCCAGACAACCAATCACTCACTACCACCCACACAACCAATCACTCACTACCACCCAACAACCAATCACTCACTACCACCCACAACCAATCACTTCACTACCACCCACAACCAATCACATCACTACCACCCAGACAACCAATCACGTCACTACCACTCACCACCAATCACTTCACTACCACCAGACAACCATCACATCACTACACCCAGACAACCAATCACATCACTACCACCCAGACAACCAATCACGTCACTACCACCCACAACCAATCACTTCACTACCACCCAGACAACCAATCACTCACTACCACCCACAACCAATCACATCACTACCACCCAGACAACCAATCACGTCACTACCACCAGACAACCAATCACTTCACTACCACCCAGACAACCATCATCACTCACTACCACCCACACAACCAATCACATCACTACCACCCAGACAACCAATCACATCACTACCACCCAGACAACCAATCACTTCACTACCACCCACACAACCAATCACATCACTACCACCCAGACAACCAATCACGTCACTACCACCACACAACCAATCACTTCACTACCACCCAGACAACCATCACATCACTACACCCAGACAACCAATCACATCACTACCACCCACAACCAATCACGTCACTACCACAACAACCAATCACTCACTACCACCGACAACCAATCACATCACTACACCACACAACCAATCACATCACTACACCCAGACAACCATCACGTCACTACCACCACACAACCAATCACTTCACTACCACCCACACATCCTACCACACACATCATCACCACCCACACAACCAATCACATCACTACCACCCAGACAACCAATCACATCACTCCACCCAGACAGCAATCACTTCACTACCACCCAGACAACCAATCACAGCACTACCACCCAGACAGCCAATCAAATCAGTGAGTGGTGATGAGTGAGTGGTGAGTGGTGAGTGAGTGGTGAGTGAGTGGTGAGTGAGTGATGAGTGGTGAGTCAGTGAGATAGTAAGTGAGTGGTGAGTGGTGAGTGAGTGGTGAGTGAGTGAGTGAGTGGTGAGTGATTGAGTGGTGAGTGAGGTAGTGAGTGAGTGAGTGGTGAGTGAGTGAGTGGTGATGGGTGAGTGAGTGGTGAGCGAGTGGTGAGCGAGTGGTGAGTAAGTGGTGAGTGAGTCGGTGAGATAGTGATGAGTGTGAGTGGTGGTGAGTGAGTGAGTGAGTGGTGAGTGAGTGGTGAGTGAGTGAGTGAGGTTGAGTGAGTGAGTGAGTGTGAGTGAGTGGTGAGTGGTGAGCGAGTGGTGAGTGAGTGAGTGAGTGTTGAGTGAGTGGTGAGTGAGTGAGTGTTGAGTGAGTGGTGAGTGAGTGGTGAGTGAGGTAGTGAGGTAGTGAGTGGTGAGTGAGTGGTGAGTGAGGTAGTGAGTGAGGTAGTGAGTGGTGATGAGTGGTGAGTGAGGTAGTGAGTGAGTGGTGAGTGAGGTAGTGAGTGAGTGGTGAGTGAGGTAGTGAGTGAGTGGTGAGTGAGTGAGTGAGTGGTGAGTGAGTGGTGAGTGAGTGAGTGGCGAGTGAGTGAGTGGTGAGTGAGTGAGTGGTGAGTGGTGAGTTCTGCTCACACAGCGCAGGAGGCGGATCTCATCAAGCGCTGTCTCCGTGTAGTGCTGGGCGCTCTTCACACACCTTCATGGCCACCATCTCACTCGCCCTGCTCAACATCAACAACATCAACAACATCACCAACATCACCACCATCTCACTCGCCCTGCTCAACATCAACAACAACATCAACATCACCACCATCTCACTCGCCCTGCTCAACGCCATCAACATCAACAACATCACCACGATCTCACTCGCCCTGCTCAACATCACCAACATCAACAACATCACACCATCTCACTCGCTCTGCTCAACACCATCATCATCACCAACATCCCCACCATCTCACGCGCCCTGCTCAACATCAACAACATCAACATCACCACCATCAACATCACCAACATCAACATCACCACCATCTCACTCGCCCTGTACAATGTCACCAACATCAACAACATCAACATCAACACCATCTCACTCGCCCTGCTCAACATCACCAACAGCAACATCACCACCATCAACACCATCTCACTCGCCCTGCTCAACGTCATCAACAACATAAACATCTCACTCGCCCTGCTCACGTCACCAACATCAACATCATCACCACCATCACATCATCAACATCACCACCATCAACATCACCACCATCTCACTCGCCCTGCTCAACGTCACCAACATCAACACCAACATCAACATCATCAGCATCAACATCACCAACATCAACATCACCACCATCTCACACGACCCTGCTCACGTCACCAACATCAACATCATCACCACCATCAACATCATCACCACCATCAACATCACCAACACCATCAAACATCACCACAATCTCACTCGCCCTGCTCATCATCAACATCACCAACATCATCACCACCATCAACATCACCACCATCAACATCACCACCATCAACAACATCACCAACATCATCAACATCAATCAACATCAACACCATCAACACCATCAACATCACCATCTCATTAACATCAACAACATCAACAACATCAACATCATCACTATCACCAACATCATCACCATCATGACCATCATGACCATCAACATCACCAACCTGACCACACCAAAATGGTGAGTCAGTGGGTAGTGAGTGTTGGGTGAGTGAGTGAGTATATGGTGAGTGGGGGTGAGAGAGTGTGTGTGTTCTATGACATCTCCTGGCCAAACCCCATCTGCAGAGCCAAGAGATTGAATCTTTACCCTTGGGGCTCCTCCAGAAACAACAAAAAGCCACTATGGATGGCCACGTGGAATGTTCGAAATGCTGACTGCGGATGAGAGGCTGCCACTCCTCTGTCCGGGAGCTGGACCGGTACCACGCCTGGATCTCTGTGGCATTCAGGAGGTCCGGTGGACCAGTTCTGGATCCTGCCACCATGAGGGGTGGACAGTCCTCTACTCGGGGCAGGAGACTGCCAAACATCAGGGTGCGGCTCTTCTTCTGAACAAAAGAATGAAGGGGTGTGAGAGCGTGGCGGTGAGGTGTGGGAAGCTGTAAGCCCCAGGCTACTTTGAGCTCGCCTTCCTATCAACCAGAGGCGAGGAGCGGTGGGTCGTGGTTACTTATGCCCCCACCGAAGACGAACATCCGTGAGGGATGCAGGCAAGGCCGATGAGTTAGATACCTTCTATGACCTCCTGTCACAGGTGCTGGCTAAAAGTGGCCCCTCGGGATAGAGTCATCTTGTTGGGTGATTTCAATGCCCGAGTTGGTCATGATGCTGGCACCTGGTCTGCAGTGATTGGAAGGCATGGGCCAGATAAGCTCAATAATAACAGTAGGACGCTGCTAGATTTTTGTGCAGCCCACGGGCTTGTAATTACCAACACGCTGTTCTGGCATCGGTGCATCCACACAACATCATGGATGCATGCCAAGTCCAAGCAAGAACATCTGCTTGAACTACGTAGTGACAGACCAGCGGATTGTGGGCCCATGTCCTTGACACCAGGACCTACCGTGGAGCTGATCTGCCCTCTGACCATCGACTTGTCATCTGTAATCATCACTTGCAGCTGGGGTTGGCATCGTCCCCACTCCTCCTGATGTTGAGGGTAAATGGACGAGGTTTAGGACTGTGACTCATGCAGCTGCAATGGCTGCTTTGGGTACGCGGTCCAGACCTCCCAGAGACCCTGGCTGACAGAGGTGTTCAGGATGGTTGAGAAAAAGCGACAGGCCCACTCTAATCGTCTCCAGCATCCCACGTCAGAAAATGAGGAGGCTTACTGCAGCCTTCGCTCGGAGGTTCAGAGAGCCGTGAGGCACTGCAAGGATGGGTGGTGGTCATTGGTTGCTGTGGAGATGGAGTCTGCCTCAGTGGCCCGCGATCACAAATCTTTTTTTAACTCCATCAAAAAGTAACCTGCAGCAACACACCTATTACCATCATCAGGGGAAAAAACGGCGATCCAATCTCCGATCCCCAGGAACAGGTTTGCAGATTTGCTGAGCATTTCTATGAAGTCCTGGGGGAGGGGAAATCCCTCAACATGGGAAACATCATGGGACAAAGTGGGGATGACCCTGTGGAGGCTGCGGTGCCCCAAATATTGGAAGTCACCCCCTGTGAGTGGCTGGGCTGAGGTGCCATCTGTTGAGGGAAGTACTGAAGGCGATCCAGAGTCTGAGACCAGAAAAGGCACCGGGCAGAGATGATCTCCCAAGTAAAATGCTGAGGGAGGGTGGCGTTTGTGCACAGACTGCCCTACATGACATCATAACAACAGTCTGAACCACTGGACGGGTTCCGCAGGACTGGAAGGGGCATCTCACTCCTCAATGTGCCAGGAAAGGTCCTGGCAAGGATCTTTCCTGGCACATTGTTAGGCACGCTGAGGAGAGGATTGCAGAGCCTCAATGTGGTTTTCAGGAAAGGGCAGTCCTGCATGGATGCCATATTTTCTGTCCGTCTGCTACAGCAGAGGTGTAGGGATTCCAACAAGACCTGGTCAAGGCCTATGATACCATCAGTAGGCCTGGGCTCTGGGTTGTTCTTCGTGCTTTCGGAGTCCCTGACCCTCTGCTCACGATCATTAAGGACCTTCATGATGGTTAGCGGGCCCAGGTAAAACTACTGCGAGTCGGAGCCATTCGCTGTACACCTTGGGGTGCGACAGGGATGTCCTCTGGCTCCCACATTATTTAACATCTATTTTGACCACATAGTTTGTGAGGCCTTCAATAGCTGTACCGGAAGAATTTCCATCTGGTACAGATATAATGAGAGGCTGATCGATACCCGGGTGCGGTCAAGGGATGGCTCCCTATTGCTCAACCATGTTATGTATGCCGATGATCTGGTGATGGGGCAGTTGTGGAGAGAGTGGAGAGTTTCCCATATCTGGGTAGTGTGTTTATGACCGGCTCCGGTTTAACATCAGAGGTCTCACTCCGAATCAGCGAGCGGCATTATAATGCGAGCAGCATTATCTTTTCATCGGTTGCGTAACGCTGTGTGGAAGCTACCTTGTCTGTCGCTCCGCACGAAGCTTCAGGTCTTCTAGGCGACAGTCATTCCCTCCCTTCTCTACGCTTGCAAAACGTGGACCCCCCTAATGTAACATCTTCGCCGGTTAGAAACATTTAGGCTGGCCTGCCTACGATCCATCCTGGGTTTAACCAGGTTGGATTGTGTGAGGAGCTCACAAATCCTTGAAAGATCTGGACAAAGTCCCATCGGTGAGCACCTCCGGCAGGCAAGGCTGCGTTGGCTGGGTCATGTAGCCCGCATGCCAAGTCACCGCATGCCTAAACAGCTTTTGTTCGGCTGGATCGAGGGGGCTTAACAGGTGCGGCACGGGCTAGAGAAGAGATGGAGTGATGTGGTACAGGAGGACGTGGAGCTGAGTGGACTTGCCGATGACTGGTACCAGCGGTGTCAAGATCGGCCTCTGTGGAGGAGGCTCGTGAAGGACGCTACTGGGCAGATGGAGGCAGTCGCCCTCCAGGAGCGACGCTCACAACAACGAGCGGAGCGCCGGGAGACTAAAGCACAGCAAAAGTTGGCACATTAGGGGGCACAGTTGGTGCATCAGCCAGTCATCTCGGTCATCTCGGTCAGTCGACCCGTGGCACCTGCTGGGTCTGCCCCGTGACCTCCTGCCAGCGGGCGTTCGACACTTCACGTGGCCTCAAGGTGCACATGGTCTGGCACAAGCGTCGTGGTGACGTCACCGCCACTTAGTGGCGAATGGCGGTTGTTGTTGTTGTTGTAGTGCTCACGCGAGGTCCCAGCAGAGCCACACGGTAGAGAAGTGTCCCCAGCCCAGCTTGCGCACCACGCGGTAGCGCTCGCTGTACACCTCGCCCACACACACCGGGTGGTAGCCGCCTGGGGGGGGGCACGGGGGGGGGGCACGGGGGGGGTACGGGGGGGGTACGGGGGGGGGCACGCGGGGTGGGGGGGGGAGACACAGTGAATGACACTGTCGATGCTCCTGTTGATGATGCTGCTGCTGATGATGATACTGCTGCTGCTGCTGATACTGCTGCTGCTGATGCTCCTGCTGATGTTGCTGCTGATGATGATGCTACTGCTGATGACGCTGATGCTGCTAATGATGATAATGGTGGTGATGATTCTGCTGATGATGCTGCTGCAGCTAATGATGATACTGCTGCTGGTGATGATGATTCTGCTGATGATTATTCTGCTGATGATGATTCTGCTGCTGCTGATGATGATGCAGCTTCTGCTGCTTTTGCTAATGTCCCTGCTGTTTACGATGCTGCTACTGCTGCTGATGGTGATGATTCTGCTGCTACTGCTGATGATGATGATTCTGTTGCTGCTGATGATTCTGCTGCTGGTGATGATTCTGCTGCTACTGATGATGATTCTGCTGCTGCTGATGATGATTCTGCTGCTACTGCTGCTAATGATGATGATTCTGCTGCCACTGCTGCTGATGATGATTCTGTTGCTACTGCTGCTGATGATTATGATTCTGCTGCTACTGCTGATGATGATTTTGCTGCTACTGTTGCTGCTGATTCTGCTGCTGATGATGATGATTCTGCTGCTACTGCTGCTGATGGTCATTCTGCTGCTACTGCTGCTACTGCTGCTGATGGTGATGATTCTGCTGCTGCCGCTGACAATGATGCTGCTGATGATTCTGCTGCTACTGCTGATGTTGATTCTGCTGCCACTGCTGCTACTGCTACTGATGCTGCTGCTGATGACGGTGATGATGCTCGCACCCTTGCAGTAATCCGCTGGGTCCTCCTGATCCTCCTCGTCTGAGCAGATGACCTCGGGAGCCAGCGGGCACGGCTCACAGGGGTCAGGGCCCCCCACAGGTGGCGAGGCCACATGGCTCTCTGACCTGTGCACACACAGAGACACGCACAGAGACACACACAGAGACACACAGATACTCAGAGAGACACGCATAGAGACACGCACAGACTCATAGAGACACGCAGAGACACACACAGAGACACGCACAGAGACACGCACAGAGACACGCACAGAGACACGCAGAGACACGCACAGAGACACGCACAGAGACACGCACAGAGACACACACAGAGACACACAGAGACTCACAGAGACACACACAGAGACACACACAGACACACACAGAGACACGCACAGAGACACAGAGAGACTCATAGAGACACGCACAGAGACACACAGAGACTCAGAGACACATGCAGAGACACGCACAGAGACACACACAGAGACACGCAGAGATACGCACAGAGACACGCACAGAGACACACAGAGACTCATAGAGACACACAGAGATACGCATGGCACCACCGCGGTCCATCCACTGCTGGACGGAGACCCACGTGACGTCCCTACCCTGTGGGGTGCTCTCTGACCCACGTGACGTCCCTACCCTGTGGGGTGCTCTCTGACCCTCGTGCTCCACTCTCTGCCGCTCAGTGTAATCACCACCATGGACCCTATAGTAAACCCATAGAGACTGATCCACAGAGACCCGCAGAGACGCACACAGACACACACAGACTCATAGAGACACATGAGAGACACACAGAGACTCGTAGATAAACACAGACCCATAGAGACACATAGACACGCAAAGAAACACCCAGAGACACACAGAAACTCATAGAGACACACAGAGACACACAGAGACGCACAGAGACACATGAGAGAAGCAACAGAGATACACAGACACACAGAGACTCACAGAGACACACAGACCCACAGAGACTCAGAGACACATGAGAGACACACAGAGACGCACAGAGACTCACAGAGACACACAGAGACACGGAGACTCACAGAGACTCACAGAGACACATGAGAGACAAGCCACAGCCGTGCGACTGGCCATGCCGGTCACACCGTGAGCCCCCTGGGGTCGTGTGCGCTGCTTCAACGGAGGAGGAGGAGGAACAGCGACACGAACGCTCTCGCTCTCGTCGTAGCGAGCAGCAGCAGCAGCAGACTGTGACATCCAGCTCATGATCATCTTGCCGTACGCAAGAATAGAATAGACTATGGGCAGTGTTAGTCTATGGGCAGTGTTAGTCTATGGGCAGTGTTAGTCTATGGGCAGTGTTAGTCTATGGGCAGTGTTAGTCTATGGGCAGTGTTAGTCTATGGGCAGTGTTAGTCTATGGGCAGTGTTAGTCTATGGGCAGTGTTAGTCTATGGGCAGTGTTAGTCTATGGGCAGTGTTAGTCTATGGGCAGTGTTAGTCTATGGGCAGTGTTAGTCTATGGGCAGTGTTAGTCTATGGGCAGTGTTGTGGCTTGGCTCTCCAACACACCGGTTAGTGCTGTCCGAGTGAGGAATTGGCCACGTTCTGTTCACGTGACAACCCTCACTAGTGGGCTGTGTCGGGTGGTGGCGGGTTTATCGACACATTTATATATTTACGCGATCTAACCCAACAAACCTCTATATGGATGATACAAATACATGTACTAATAAACGGCAGGTAGGATGGAAACAACCACAACCAGTTAAGGTATTACCTGGTTAATAACATCCTTCCAATGATTGTTCGAATTTGTATCCATCTTCTCGGCTGAAGTTATGTCTGTTTATAGATCTGGATGGCTTCATGAACAAACCTTTGATAGTAGCCCAAAGGTTTGCAGAGTATCTTGGTCTCGGATAAAACAATATCACGCGAGCCCACAGCGTTATAGCAATGGCCAGCTACTACTACTACGGTGTTAAACTGGACGACAACAACAACAACATTGATGCTGCAGCTGCTACTGCCATCATCACAACCCCCGGGCCGACGGACGGCTGAGGCATCCGGCTGGATAAAATAGATACCTGCCAAACGATATTCGTTTCAGAGAGACACTCACGCATATATGTGGATGTGTGTGTGTGAAAGAATGGAGTGCTGTGGTACAGGAGGACGTGGAGCTGAGTGGACTTGCTGATGACTGGTACCAGCTGTGTCAAGATCGGCCTCAGTGGAGGAGGCTCGTGAAGGACGCTACTGGGCAGTTGGAAGCAGTCGCCCTCCAACAACAACGGAGGGCGGAGGAGCGACGCTCACAACAACGAGCGGAGCGCCGGGTGGCTAAAGCACAGCTAGTTGGTACAGTAGGGGGCACAGGTGGTGCATCAGCCAGTCATCTCGGTCATCTCGGTCAGTCGACCCGTGGCACCTGCTGGGTCTGCCCCGTGACCTCCTGCCAGCGGGAGTTCGACACTTCACGTGGCCTCAAGGTGCACATAGCCTGGCACAAGCGCCGTGTTGACGTCACCGCCACTTAGTGGCGAAAGGCGGTTGTTTTTGTGAAGCAGACGAAACAGAAAAAAAGACTCGCAATGACCCAAGTGGTGAAGTATGGTCAAATACCCCCCCTCCTCCCCTTAAGGGCCTCATCCAGCAGTGGATTGACGTGTTTACGAGACGCAGGGAGATTGCTTACCACCGAAGACCCCCCCCCCCAACCTGTCCCTCCCCACCGTTGCTAGGCACCCGGTCGCCATGACGACAGCATCCTCGGATACCCCCCCACTCGCCGCCCCCGCGGGGGTTGCCAGGTCACGTCGCCATGGCAACCAGCCGCCCACGTGCCTCTCTCTCCCATCCTTTCGGGTTCGCCCCCGCCCCCATCCACCACCTCACCCACCCCCCAGGACACAAACACACAACACACACATACAGACACGAACACAGACACACACACACAACACGCACACAGACACACACAACACGCACAGACACACACAAACACACACAACACGCACACAGACACATACACAGACACACAGACACACACATACACACAGACACACAGACACACACAGACACACAAAGATCCCCCATGTAGCCTTAACAGACTGTAGGGGCAAGTGCTGTAAGCGAGCACCTCTGAAGGCCGGAACGGCACACGAGGGGGTGGGTGGCCAGCACCACGCCCGACCGCCTTTGTCTCCCTAGTAGCAATGTTTACACACCGTACCAGGTACTCATTTGAGGCTGAGTCGACCTACACACACACAGACAGACACAGACACGCACACACAGACACGCACAAACAGACGCACACACACAACGACACACAAAGACACACCACACACAGACACACACTACATACACAGACACACACTACATACACAGACACACACTACACACACAGACACACACTACATACACAGACACACACAGACACACAGACACACACAGACACACAAAAAGACAAAGATCCCCGTGTAGCCTAAACAGACTGTAGGGGCAAGTGCTGTTAGCGAGCACCTATAAAGGCCAGCACGGCACACGAGGGGTGGGTGGCCAGCACCACGCCCGACCGCCTTTGTCTCCCTAGCGGCGATGTTTACACATCGCACCAGGTACTCATTTGAGGCTGAGTCGACCTAGGGGAGGCCCGGGACCGGTTCAGATAATCGTCACTGGTGTTTGCCGTGAACAGGAATCGAACCCGGGTCGCCAGGTTCATAGCGCAGCGCGCTAACCGCTACACCACCGCTCCCCACAGACACACACACATATAGACACACACAGACACACACAAGCACACACACACATCCACATTGGGTGTAATTACTGTCATACAATCCTAAAATAGACACCGCAAGAGTGTGTACAACATCGTCGTCAGCAACATCAGCAGCAGCATCATCAACATCATCATCATCAACATCATCATCAGCGGCATCATCAGCTGCGGCATCAGCAGCAACAGCAGCAGTATCAGCAGCAACATCATCAGCAGCAGCAGCAACATCATCAGCAGCAATATCAGCAGCAGCAGCATCAACAACAGCATCATCATCATCAGCGTCATCAGCATCTTGACCATCGGCAGCAGTAATCACTATTAATAGAAAAATCAGTATCAGCAGCAGGAGCAGCAACGTCATCAGCATTATCATCATCAGCAGTAGCAGCAGCATTGTCATCAACATCAAAACAACAGCATCGCCATCGTTATTATAAATAACAGCAGTATGATTACCAACATCATCAGCAGTAGCCGTGACATCATTTTCACCATCGCCACCACCACCATTAATCAAACAATGTAGAATCCATTGTTGTTAACCTGACAATAACGCACATTAATTCCCCAGAGAATCCTAACCGAGTCTCAAGACTCGCTCTCAAGAGGGTGCTGCCACGTTGAGATGGTTGGCCGTGAATTCCATTCGTGAGAGTTTGGCTTCGTGTGAGTCTATGGGTCTCTGTGTGAGTCTATGGGTCACTGTGTGAGTCTATGGGTCTCTGTGTGAGTCTATGGGTCACTGTGTGAGTCTATGGGTCTCTGTGTGGGTCTATGGGTCTCTGTGTGAGTCAATGGGTCTCTGTGTGAGTCTGTGGGTCTCTGTGTGAGTCTATGGGTCACTGCGTGAGTCTATGGGTCTCTGTGCGAGTCGATGGGTCTCTGTGTGAGTCAATGGGTCTCTGTGTGAGTCTGTGGGTCTCTGTGTGAGTCTGTGGGTCTCTGCGTGAGTCTATGGGTCTCTGTGTGAGTCAATGGGTCTCTGTGTGAGTCTGTGGGTCTCTGTGTGAGTCTGTGGGTCACTGCGTGAGTCTATGGGTCTCTGTGTGAGTCGATGGGTCTCTGTGTGAGTCGATGGGTCTCTGTGTGAGTCGATGGGTCTCTGTGTGAGTCAATGGGTCTCTGTGTGAGTCTATGGGTCTCTGTGTGAGTCTATGGGTCACTGTGTGAGTCTATGGGTCTCTGCGTGAGTCGATGGGTCTCTGCGTGAGTCGATGGGTCTCTGCGCGAGTCTATGGGTCTCTGTGTGAGTATATGGGTCTCTACGTGAGTATATGGCTCTCTGTGTGAGTCTATGGGTCTCTGCACGGGTCTACGGGTCTCTGTGTGAGTCTACGGGTCTCTCTGTGTG